CGCTGATCATCAAACCCACTGACACCCACAAAGCTGGAAGGCGGAATTTGGGGTGCCAAGTTGCCCGCAGGCAAAGTTGTTGAGACCCGATTCCGGTTGGCCGTGCGACGGGTGCGGATGCACCGGACGGTTTGATTAACGGTCGCAGATCGGGCGTCCGGAGCAACCCACTGCGAACGACTCGCATCTAGTTCTCGCACGAGGTCGAAACTTCGACCGGTTTCACAGTAACAGCAGTTCGCATCTTCTGAGATCAGGCCAGATCTGGTGGATAAATCTTTCGCCGTGAGGCCATATCGATCTCGCGCATGTAGGAGTGCCGATCTTCATAAAAACGAACAAAGTCTCGAACGCGCACTCCGGCCTCCACTTCAGCCATCTTCTGATATCAGGTACGCTATCTTATCGGTGTCGCGACTCGCGAGCTTACGCCCGCACATGTTTCCGGTGTCGAGCGGGCCGGCTTATCATGTTCTGAGGCAGCAGGGCCGGGACCACATGGCACACATGCGCCATGATTACTGCCTCACGTAGGGTACGACTGCAGCACCACGTAATCGAAGAGGGCTGAAGTGCGACAGGCTAACGCCATGTGTGGATTCTCTGGAGTGGCTTTCTTGGGTCTTGGTGCTGACGAGCGCACGGATGAAGTGGCCGTGCAAGTCTTGGACTCTTTGCCCACTTTAAGCCGCTTTCCAGAATTTGTTTGAAACGAGGTTCTACTGTGCCTGTCCCTGTAAAGTCAACTTGGCTGTTTGAATGATTAGTCGTGTGTCCACATGGATAGTATTCCGTGCAACAACCTGTTGATGGTCGCCTGAACAACCGCCGTGGTGGCTGAGCGTCACCGAGTACGTATGAGGTATGCAGGCGACTGCGAAGTGCCGGAATGGACGGGAGAGCGAAAAATCAAGGTTTTGGCGCTAACTTGGTCGATGAACAACCAGGGCAGGGTCTCGTGCATGCGTAAGAGGAGACCCTGGCCATTGAGTAAGAGCGCACTGACCGCCGACATTCTGGCCTCGGGTCTCTCCACTGTATAATCTACCATGACACACACATCTTCTGGACGCGTCAACTGTCATAAGAAGTTGCGGCCTCCATCGTCACAACTGATCTTCCACCTATCTCTTCCAAGTTTTTGAAACCTGCCAGCCATCTGTCTAATCTGCGCTTCATAGCTATAAGCCACGCATCGTGCATCTGCAGAACTTGGGCATCTTCACATTAACTCCATTCGGCACTCCATCACACTATTATTGGACCCATCCGCACGCTACCAAGACACGCCAACGGACCCCATCGATTACGGCTACTTTAACGCCCGAATACGCAATTACTACCCTGCATATCTTGCATTTGCTGGCTACATCATCGGGCATTCACAACCCACCGGCGCATATATTACGAAGTCTGCCCTCGGCTTCAGTATTGTCCAAGTCCAGCACACTGCAAAGTCTCTCGGTCGCAAGTCGCACACAGCTACACCACCACAACTACTCTATTACTCTACTACTCAACGACAACAACCAACCTCAACCACACCAAGCCACAATGTTCTCTTGCGCCAACTACGAGCGAGGATGCCGGGGTCGCTGCAACCGCATGAACGGACGATGCGATAGCTGCCACACACTCAACCTCCAAGTCCGCAGCAACAGCGCCTCATCCACATCATCCACCAACGGCCTACCATCAGCAGCCTACTCAGCCATGACCAACTCATTCGCATCGCTGTCACAACTCAACTCTCAATCATCGTCGACAAGGGCGCAATAACCGCCGGACCCTAGGCGTTCACCCTCATGACATTCGACGAATCATTCAAACATCAGCGACTTAGCGGCACAGTGTGCAGGCAACACTCTTCAGCTTCGACTTTGCGATTTGGGAAACTTTTATTGGAGCACATCGGTTTAGCATTTACACGGAGCGATCTTTTCTTTCAGTTGTATGATATACCATTTTCATTTTTTCATCGCTTTGAAGGACCACTGCAGGCGTTTGGCAGGGCATGCAAGAGGCGGAGCGCTAGGCAGAGTTTCCCTCGGAGGACTTGACAAACTCCCACCACCACAACAATCAAAACCAATTTACCTCACCTGCATTTCTTCATGCACTCGTGATTCTTTCCATGCGCAGAGCACCCTGTCGGCATCACACCTGCCACAATACGTAAGACAAGACTTTCTCCTAGCCCCACAGTCGTGTCTAGATCTCACCCTCATCCATCCGCCCATCACGCAAAACCCACAACCACGAGCCTTCAAGCTTCAAGGCCCGATCCCTTTCTCTCCTTTCACGGCAATCACGGGTCCATATTTCCGTACAAAACGTCGCTCTATTTCCTTATTCCCTATAGCCTCTATACAGAATACGTCCGTGATGTCCCGTAGCTGGGGGACGCAGGCTAAAGAGCCCACTCTTTGTAAGAATCCAGACCACCGGCGCACGGAGTAGTAGGCAGGGCCTAGAAGTCGGTATCGATCGAGCGTTGTGCTGGGGATCGGCTCGCTTGGACGGGCAGGTGGTGCAGCGCGCCTTTGGTGGCCGCTGCACTGTGACGTCAGTCGCGCTTCTCACCACGTCCTGCTTCGTTTCTCGCATGTGCGCAGACGTGCGTTTCAGCTCCGAGGCAAGCGGGTCCTCCACGGAGTCCACTCGTAGGCGCGGAGAGGCTGCGAGAGGCATCTTTTCGGTGCTGTCATGTCGTTTTCTTTTGATTAAACTTTGACAGCGTCTGCTTTCCGACATGCTGCCGCGGGAACCAACCTCGCACAACGAAAGGTCTGGACCTCAGGTGACGGCAAAATGGTGCCGAGGCCAATAGACTCGTGCATGGTGGTTGTGATGCATGGCATTTTCGCATTCCCATGCCCGGGTTCATGCATTTGTGCCCATTGTTTCGCCGAAGGCTGCATCAAACAGCCGTAAAGTGTGTTGTTGTTGTCGCTGTTGTTGCCCAGGTGTAGTCGCGCCGATGTTTGCATGCGCCTTTGCTGTAGTTACACCACCCCCAGCACTTCTACAGGGCATCAATGTTGGCTCTTGCGTAACCCAACATGCGACGTCTTCGATCTTCCTGCTCGCCAAACCTGGCGCATGTCAAAGCTGCATCGTGGACGTCGAAGCTATGATGTTGATGAACAAAATCCTTCGCGCCCAATTTTAGCATCGTGATCGTGACAGCGATGGAGCTTCCACTTGCACTTCCTTTTGCTCTCGTCTCTTGCCAGCCTATCGGAGTCGATGACCCGAGGCTCGGACCTTGAGCACCGGCACTCGATAAGTGCGGTGACAAGCGAGTGCGAAGAAAGATATTAGTGCCATCGACTCGAGGGTCCATAAAACCAGTGAGTTGCTAGCTGAGCATAAGCGCGAGACGTGGCTTTTCGGGAAGGAAAGACGCTTGTTTTCCTACGTCATGCCGTTGGAAAAGCTGAACGTGTCTCCACCATCGTGAGAAGTCTGGAACCTCAGACTCGGTCGTGCCGATGTTCTATATACGGTTTGTGCAGTTCTTACATCAATGAAGTCTTCAGTCTAGTAGTCACGTGTTCTTGGTATTCACATTCCACCTCGGGCTGTCTGGGTAGGCGCCCTTCTGTGGAAGGACCAGGTGTCATCGAATACAACACACTACCATCCACCTGATCTACTTCAATGAAGATGAGTGATCACTGTCCGCACTCTTAACATCTTGTCTTCACGCGCAACAATTCCGGGTTTCACTCGGTGAAGAAGCTGCGTAATCACTTCATTCAAGCCACCAACTAGCAAAGCCTCAACGACCGTTGGGGGACTCACCTATAGAACCAGCGCACAGCGTAGTACAAAACACTTGAGTCACACCTCTTCGTGTCAACAAACACCAACTATTCTTGAGAGTATGACTCCCCAGAATATCCCCGCTGACAAAATCTCTCACGAACTACCGATGTCGCTACCCGGACCGGAAAGGCGTCACGTGGAAGCGCGACAGTAGGACAAGTGAGCTGAATAGGGTATGCATGACGAGCTGGATAAGCCGCATAACACTAGTCGTTGCAATATCGAACGATGCAGCTTATAGAGCTACGCAGTAACACGGTCCGATGAACCTATGGCTGTCCAGCGATGTGCTTACTCAACCACGTCTTGTGGTGCGGGAGTGATTGTTTCTAGAAGGAGGAGGCTCGAGGTGCATGCAGCCCTACCCGTGTGAGGAAAGCTTAGTTGGCTGTGAGTGTATGGCATAGGCTCGTGATGGCAGGGCCAGTAGAAGAATGGTGTATGCTGGACGTTGCGGTGGGATGAACATCATGCACGTCTTTAACCACAACCCTAGTACATGATCCAATCACCCGCTTCCAATACAGTGGCTAGCGAAGGCTGAGTCGGTCTACCAGCCAGCCACAACGTCTACCCACTCCCATCACGCTCCATCCCCTACCTCAGCGACTCCCAAATAGGCAAGCATTTCGTGCACCCCAACACCCGACGTCCTCCCGTTGAGCCACCCCGTATCTACCCGTACTCGCATACCCACCCTTCCCCATGTCCGCTGCCAAATCCCCCATCAAACATCGCGTACGTAAATAAATCCTGCTTATCAAATGCCACACCAAGCACCTACAAGCCTCACGCGCCCTGTGCTTTCCCATACCGCTCCTCCGCTGAATAATCGCGGGATGGGCGATGAGAAGAGCAAATAGCGTGCTGGCTAGACGCACGTAGGAAAATGATCAGCACAACGGATTGTGACGCGTGGGTGTCTCCGCGCAATTCATGGCGTTGTGATATGGAGTACATATCCCCATTTGAAGCGGCGATATTTCCTGTTTGTTGATGGAGAGTAGCATCAGCTTTTCCTCTTTCCTGCTTCCTACTTGCTTCTTTCCAGTTTGGAATTGAGGTACTTGCCAAGATCGGATATCGAGGTCTTGTTTCAACTTTGATTACGGGTACAGTGAAGTTGCCAAGATATTAAGCTTTGTGGATAAGCTCTTCCTTCCAGAAGCATGTCGGCGCCTTGGTCAGAATCCGCCCCGCGAAGGAAAGCCAATTACAAAGTCCGCTTTCGACATGGTGTGTATCCTGATCTGGAAAGTCAGGCTACCAGGGCCGATATCAAGAAGTACGACTACTTCTTTGGTGCGGCGCAGAGATGGGTCGGTACGCCAGGAACATGTAGGTACAAGTCATGTGGTAGTCTTGTTAAGTCGATGCTAATGACTGTCTTGTAGTGGACTTTGTCGACGAATCGTCACTCATAGCTGAAGAGTTCGAGGGCCCCGGAAGTACTGATAAAAGGAAGACACCAAGACATCTGGTTCGCTCCAGGACGGCTGAGAAGATACCACAGTCGGTATCGAGGAAGAGTCCGCAAGTAAGAGAGCGACACATGCGCCCGACGAGTCGAAGCTGGAATGATCGAGTGCTCATACCCGCAGCACCACAGACCACGCCTGACCTATGGCAGCTTCCGTCGCATATCCGGCGACACACAAGCCCGGCACCTGGCTCAGTCTCAAGTCTCTCCAGCCTTGACGAGCCCCTGCTGGGAACTTGGAACTCTGATGTCCCCTCGCCACATTCATTCGTTCCAACGAACCATGCTTCACCGGTAGCATGGCCGATACCTGACCCAATCGAAGCATATCTTTTTCGGTTCTGGGTAGAGAAAGCATCAGACGCACTAGACATAATGAGTCCTGCTAGCATCTTCAAGAATATCGTCCCAAAGCTCGCTTTAACAAGCCCGATGCTCATGAACGCCATCTTCATGATTTCCGGACAGTGTATACTGCGCTTCGATCCGTATTTCACCACCAGACCATACGACTATCATGAGAGACTATTGCAGAGTCTCATACCGTATATTGCCGAGAAGGGACAAATTGAAGACGAGGCGACGCTGGTGGCCGCCATATTGCTGCGAAACTTTGAGGACTTCCATGGTACGTGAACACGAGGAATTGCGCGGAGATCAGCTGACATTCAAATAGCGGGTACACAAGGACAATCACATCTCTCGACGTTTGAACTCTTCTATGGTCCTGAAGGCTGGGTCTTCGATATGTCTAGCCCGGTTGTACAAGCTGCTCTGGTACTCCATGTGCATACCGAAGTCAGCCAAGCATTGCTCAACCAACCCACTCTGCGCATTGATTATGAAAACTTCATTCTGCCAGCTCTGATATCGCCAATCGATGAAGTCTCGTGGGGAAATCGAATTTTATGGCTGACTGCGCGCATCTTGCAGTGGGCGCAAAAGAGCGTGCGGACGATGGCCGAGTGGCAGTATCTTCACAGTTTGGTCGATGAGTGGGAAAGAAGGCGACCCGCAAGCTTCGACGCCTTCTTTTACCAGGAAGGCAACCCACATGCCGTTGGAGGATATCCAGAATTGTGGTTCTCTGGCGCTTGTCATGGTGAGTCCAATTAATCGTCAGCTCACGGACTGTTTGCTAACAGGCGACAGCGGAGGCGAACCAACAGCTGCGAATATGCCGTATTGCACTCGCGGTTTACATTCCAGGGATGAATATGCAAGGCGTACATGATGAAGTTTCGAGAGGTTTAAGAGAGATGATAGCTATCGCTCGGTGCAATTCTCATTGTATTTCCGCGCAATGGGACGCCGCGTATGCAGTACATAAGTTTGGCACCATACTGCAGAATGACCAGGATCGATGTAAGATGATCGAGTTTCTAGAAGAGGTACAGACCACAGGCATGCCAACACGCACGTCGGTCGAGCATCTCAAAGAGCAATGGAACTGGAGATGGAACCATTACGCAGGAGAAATTAATTAATTCTGAAGAGCAAGAATGTGTTCGTAGCCAAGATCACCTGGTTAGAGAACCAGCAAGGAACAGACTGCCCATGACCACACCCAGGAAGGTGATGAGAATGATCCTGCCCTTGCCGGTCAGAGCGAGATACGACATGACGCCTACGATAAGCTCCCACCGTCGAGCTGCGTCTCTCCTGGCTTTCCACTGTGGGTTGACCTCAAAGGGTGGCCTGGAAAGAACGACATTCACGCCCATCTTGATAGGCTTGTCATCAACGCGCACAGATAGAGCAACCGGTCGATGGTCGGACGTCGGCTGTACGGGCAAGGCGGTGTAAATTTGCGGCTCAAGGTCTGATGAAGATCCGGATGAGAGGTAGAGGATTCGGTCGCACCATGAGGGATACCGATGTTTCGACCACTCCCATGAGTCGTCCTCTCCAGATCGCTTGGGCGCGTTGGAGTTCTTGCCATGTGAGGTGGCGTACTTGTATGTAGGCGGGAAGTTGATAGGCATTTCTTGGAAGCCATGCAGGGTGCGTTTAGCGTCCTTTTCTCTCATCAATTGGTCTTTCTTCAGCAGATGTGAGTAGTGTGTTGGCGAAGATGTGGACGCTGTCGGCTGCGGATAGGTTTGATGCGCTCCGTCTTCTGGTGGGCTATCGTGGGTGCGGTAGTTCAAGTCGCCGTAGAAGAAGACGTGGTTGCCAGGTGTAAAGAGACCGTTGTGGTCGGCTGGTGTCTCAGACGAGGGGCCAAGCAGCGGTCGCTCTTCGCTCGAGCTGTACGGGGAATCATCGTTGTTGACAAAGACCAGGTTCCGCACCAGATTCTCCCAGTCTTTGTTCCGCGCGTCGATATTGCTCTCCATGGGCGCAAGATGGGCTGCCGCAAAGGTAAGATCGAGGGTATCTTCAGAGTCGGGGCACGAGAAGCCGACGCGCATGGCAACGGCGCCCTTGTTGCCCATGTTGGAGAAGCCGACACCTGCACCTGCCGACTGTATCCATTGTATCCGCTGTATGACGTGGGGTTTGGCGAAGAGCATCAGTGCCGTCATGCCCAGGCTGCGCGTCGCAATGTGCTCGAGTGAGTCGCTGCCATTGCTGCGGAGGTCGGCGGCAAGCTGGACCGTCGTAGTCACGCGGTCAAAGTAGGGCTTCAGATAGGAGCCTCCGAGGAACGAGTAGGCGATGGGCGCAACCTCCTGCAGGGATATGGCGACGATGTCGGGCAGAGGCGTGTCTTTGGGGAGGGCGTCGAAGAAGGAAGGCGCGAGGGACTGGGGATCGACGAGGTTGCGCGCCGCATTGAAGGTAAGGAGGTAGAGCTCAAACATGACGGATCACGATGCTGTCGTGTCGCTGCAGACGCGTCGGTCAGCACAATTCCGGCTTGTTGAGGGCGATCACGATGCGGCACCAGGGATGACGAGGGCGGGGAAGGTGCAAACGAAGGCTTGGAAGGTACGAACAGAGTTATTGCTGGAATTAACAACACACGTAAGACGTCTACAGTACAGGTAAGGGCATGCACGGGGAGGGTGGTGGTGCACCCGTGGACGCGTCTAGTGGCAGGCAAATGGCTGCAGCGTGGGGTAGCAGGCGGTCAGGATTTGCTGAGCTGCGGTAGTGCGGAGAGGACAAACGGCTAGGGCGGCTCCACTGAGCGCTCTGGAGGTGGAGTGCCAACCGCGACGGCGTGTGATTTCAATGGAGACAATCAACCAGACAGGCCAGGATGCAGTGTGCGGAGTGTGCGGAGGTGGGAGTGCATGCGGGATGGCCTCGCCAAATCCTGGCCCTGCATAGACCTGTCGTCAGAGGCGTCCGTCAACAAAACGCGGTGGGGGAAAAGCTCAAGCTCTTGGAAGGACCGAAATTATTTGCCAGGTGCTTGGGCATCGTGAGCTTCACTCCCAACCTCACTTGGTTCTCCTTCTTCACTTCCCGCTTCTTGCCCTGTTCTAGCTTGCTTCCTTCCTGAGTCGTATCACATTGACTCGAGAGCCTTCTAGAATCACCTCAGATAATCTACTTTACCTCGACGCTTACCTTCTCCTCATAATTCAGAGCTTCTCTCTACCAACTGCGACGTCCAATTGAATTGGGCTTTCTACCACAGCCATGTTCAGATCTCAGGTTTTCCGTCAAGTCGCACGCGCGGCCAGAGCCCAAGCTCCCCGTGCATCCTTCAGACCAGCACAGTCAGCTATTTCCTCACAGCGACATTTCACGTCCTCGCCTAGTCGCTTCGACAAGGACCCCTCCAACGAGGACGATGTCAACGCTGCAACCACATCGGGCGAGCCTGGTGAGAGTGGGGAGCACGAGGGTCAGTATGCACGTACCCGAGACGACATTGTCGTCGAGTACCCAGAAGAGAAGGACCTGCCACCTTCCAACCCCGTCGTGGGTCGAGGAGGGGAGCACTTCAAGCGCACGCTGGCTTCCTTCTCTATGGAAGGCAAGGTCGCTGTCGTCACTGGTGGAGCCCGAGGTCTGGGTCTAGTCATGGCGCAGGCCTTGGTGACCTCTGGAGCCGATGTAGCCATTGTCGACATGAACAAGGAAGAGGGTGAGCGGTCAGCCAAGGGCCTGCTCGATATCTTCAAGAAGGAGAACCCAGGGTCTAGGAGGTAAGAAACTCATATACAGAACCAACGACCTCAACTAAGTCAAAACATAGAATTCCCAAGGTCACAGCACATTTCTGCGACGTCTCGAGCCCGACGTCTGTCAACCAATCTTTTGCCGAGATCCTGAAGAAGCACGGCAAGGTCGACAACCTCGTTACATCGGCTGGCTTCACCGAGAACTACGATGCCATCTCCTACCCCCATGACCGCATACAGAAGCTCTGGGGAGTCAATGTTGACGGTACCTACCTGTACTCTGTGGCAGTCGCGAAGCACCTCATGGAGAGGAAGGTACCGGGCAGCATCGTCATGATTGGTAGCATGTCCGGAGCCATTGTCAACGTCCCACAGCCCCAGGCTCCGTACAACGCCGCCAAGGCAGCTGTCAGACATCTGGCATCCAGTTTGGCGGTTGAATGGGCTGGCGCTGGCATTCGTGTCAACTGCATTTCGCCTGGATACATGCTTACTGCGCTGTAAGTACACTGTGAGACGAAGATTGCGCAGATGCTAACAAAGTTGTAGCACCAAGAAGATTCTCGACGACAACCCAGACCTTCAGAAGCAGTGGACTTCTCTCATTCCCGTTGGTAAGATGGGACGTCCTGAGGACTTGATGGGTGCCGTCACCTTCTTGTCTAGTGACGCGAGTTCCTACGTTACTGTAAGTGATGTTCAGCCGCACCGATGAGCAACAACTGACCAAACCCAGGGTGCCGACCTCCGAGTTGACGGAGCCTACACATGCACTTAAGCCAGGGCTGACAGTGGAGAAACGTGAGCGAGAGCGCAAGAATGTATGATAGAGCGAAGAAGTCCACCAGCTGGAGTGATAATTTGGGCGCAGTCTGGCGACAGAAGGCGCTATGGCAGCTTCAATAATAGTATGAGAATCTTCAGATAATCAACCATTGAAAAAGACGCGACCCACTCCCGTTTCTGTCTGCGTGAACTTGACTCTTGCATCGTCTTTGAAATTGGCGGGTGCGTCATAA